TAACTCACAGGATCGACTAGATTGATCCTAGGATTCCTTGGTCATTAGGGTAACTCTCATGATCAAACAGATATTCATGGTTGATATTTGAGTGTTGTATAAGTGTTTGGCTTATTTCGATTTCTCTCTTAAAGGTCTAAAGATGTAATCAAAATGTGCGTGTACGAAACTAAGTTGCATGAATAAATGTTAATTGTAAAGACATGTAAAATTGCATAAAAGGCAAGTAAATGGTTTCGAATTATAAAAACAGTTAATGTAAAGGATGTTCTGGAACGTAAAAGGTTTGAAATATGAAGAAAGCGTTTAATGCAAGAAATCTGTAAATGACTTTAAGTAAAAATAGGCGTTCGAAGGATAAAGCTTGAAGGTAAAGGCATGGAAAGTATGACAGTTTTCTGAAATGTAAAGTGCTTGAAATGTGAAGAAAGCATTGAAATGTAAAACTTTAATGAAGAGATTTCGAAGTGAAAAGACTGTAAATGAGAAAACTTATAAATATTATTTGACAGAAAGATAAAGGAAAGTGCTGGAAATGGTAAAAGGTTTTCATTAAATCATAAATTTATGGTGCTATCATACGTACATTGCTCTTGCATTCGTTTCCCTTGCCATGTGGTAGTTTGGATGTTACTGAGTATTTAGTACAATAGATATGACACACAAAATCCTAATACTAAGACTTCTATTTATACTAATTCGACCATAACGGTCTTGCTATAGGATTATGCCACGTTCAGAACATACAGAACAATGCCTCTTTCTTCTTTCCACGTGTCTCCAAATGCTCCAGCACATAAATTTCAAACTTCGAATGTCCCGCTTCCATTTAAATTTCAAATGCTTTGGTACTTCTCCGTTTCGAACGCACTTCCCAGACACAGCCTTGTTGTTATTTCGAGACTTCTTTTAGATATGTTCCCATAATTGCCACTCGAAGCTCCAGCTTTGACATGCTTATTCGAAACACTGCTTCTGCTACTTCGAAACATGACGCTTTGCTTCATTTCGATCGAAACGTTTAGTTCATTTGGCCTCTAATAATATTATCAAAATAATTAATGGCTCACATTCTTCAAGCGTATGAGAATGTTACCATTGCATTTGACTAGTATCTTTGAGTAATCTCTAAATGAGACATTGTTAGTTTCCACTTCATTGATCTCTACATCGTCGCACATATGGTTGATTGCGCTAGTGTCGAGGTACCACTTGTTTCTTCCTCGTCAACTTGGTTTTGGCACGCAAGTAGTAAAATTTATTCTTCTCCACCTTTTTCTTCTAGCTTTCTCTTCAACCTTCTTTGAGAATCTACACTCGGATGCATATTGACCAATCTTGTCGCAGTTGAAGCACTTGATTTGGGATTTGTTGAACCTCGAGTATGAATCTCCTCTTCCAGTTCCTCTTGTTGTTTGTGGATACCAACTTCTTTCTCCATTGTTGAAGTTGTTGGAGTAGTTGTTGTAACCGTCTCTTCCTTCTCCTTCATGTCCTCGTCCACGTCCACAATTTTGGCCACGACCTCGTCCTCTTTGGCTCTTGTAATTCACATGTTTTTCTTCCTCTACGTTGAGTTGTAGTAGTTTCTCTATAGCCTTCTTTTGTTTATTTTTTCTCTTTTGTTTTTCTTCGTATGATTTTAAGGAATCCATGAGTTGCTCAATAGTCATGGTCTTTAAATTTTTGTTTTCTTCAATGTTGATAACAATGAAGTTAAAACTTAGATTTAAAGTGCGAAGTATTTTCTCCATGACTTTCACCTCATCAACACCTTCACCATTTCTTTTAAGTTGATTGACTACGGTCAATACTCGAGAAAAATAATCAGAAATTGACTTGGACTCCTCCATAAACAAATGTTCAAAGTCACTTCTAAGAGTTTAAAGACGAATCTTTTTCACTTGTTCCACTCCTTTGTTGCAAGTTTGAAGCTTGTCCCATGCTTCTTTGACCGCCGTTACGTTGGAGATCTTTTCAAATGTATCTTCATCCACGGATTGATAAATGAGGAAGAGAGCTTTCTTGTCTCTCTTTCTTGACTCCTTCAACATCTCCTTTACATCTTGGTTTAGTGAGGCTTCATCTTGCTCCTTGAAGCCTTTCTCAACGATATCTCATGCATCTTGAGCTCCTAGTAGTGTCTTCATCTTGATACTTCAGTTGTCATAGTTGTTCTTTGTGAGCATCGGAATTCGAAAAGGGAAACCACAATTCGCCATCTTTTGAAGACCTTGAAGCTCTGGTACAACTTTGTTGGAAATAAGGCCTTATATTTAAACAAAGTGTTTGGGAATAACTCGGGGCCAAGGATGAATCTTAGATGTTCCCTCGCGTTATCAAGCTGTTGACATATTTACCAAAGCTCCTGTTTCAACTCTTTCATGATTTCCGAAATAGTTTCAACATTCGTCAACCTTCTGTTTCAACTACGGAGGTGTATTAAACAATTATGTGCATATCTCTATACTATTTAGAATAGAAAATATTGTAAATGATTAATCATGTTAGGAGATAATTAAGGAAACTTTGATTGTATATATCATAGCATAAATGAAAGAAATGACAGACCAATAATTCTTATAGTTTGATAGATAAGTTTATTTTCTCCGCATCCGAGTAAACTTCATGTGAGATAGATACAAAAACAAGATTTTGAGCATTTTTAGCACACTCGTTAGTAAAAGAAACTCAAATTATAATTTGAATCACCATTAATTTCTTCGTTCTTATCTACAACAGTAAGTAGAAATTAAACAACATCACATGAAACTAATTCATTCATTGACCGTCAGATGTTTTCTTTACATAAGTATTGATTATGACGCGGCGTCAACATTCATTGACCGCCTTTTTTTACAATATTAAGGATAAAAATGCAACCGAAACCGCAATGTAAAACAACAATCACAAATATACCTGATGAAAAAGTTCAAACTTTTTTCTGATACATTTGATTGTGTGGGTGTTTGATAGGGATGGAATTCAATGCCAAATGAATTTGCAGAACATTCGCCATGTGGATCGGTCGCATTCTCAGAGCATGGAGACATGAATAAGCGGAAACTCTTTACGTTGAGGAAATTGATATTGGTGAGGTTGCACTAGTGTTTAAGTCTTTAGTTTAAAATCTAAAATTTTATTCGTTTGGTTAATTCTTGTAGTGTAAGTTCTTGATGAAATGTATTACTACCAATTTTTGAACTGCACTCTTACATACCTAAAAGCTTTGGTTTATGAATTTTAAAAATCGACGATCAACATCTTATTTACTAGAAGTTTACCATCTCTACCTCAATCCTAAATGCATGATTAATTTTTGCTTCTGGTGAGTTATAACATTAGGTTTTTCCTATACAGTGTTACATATAAGGTATTGTTACGAAACTTGAATTTAGCTTATGGTGATGTTAATTGTAATAAAATCTATAATCCTGGGGTGTAATAAATGACTTGTCAGATTTGTTGACTTTTAAAAATCGATTTTAGCTCCGGTCACATCAAGGCTAAGAGTTTTAAATTGATTTTTAAAAAGTTGACTTTAGCCTTAGCTAAGTCGAAACTGAGAGTTTTATTGACTTTTGAAAAGTTGGACTTAGTCTCAGCTAAGTCGAAGCTGAGAGTTTTATTGACTTTTGAAAAATTGACTTTAGGCTAGGCCTAGCCAAAGTTGATAGTTTTATCGATTTTAGCCTCGACCTAGCCGAAACTTAGAGTTTTATTGACTTTTGAAAAGTTGACTTTAGCCTCAGTGTAGTCGACACTAATTTTTTTGGTTGACTTTTCAAATTTTGTCTTTTTAGGTTGGCATTAAGAGTAGCCTCGGCATAGACTTGGTTTAACCGATGCTAATTTAGACACGGCCTTAAACGGCCGGCGCTAAGATGTTACCTTCGAATCATTTAACCTGCCCGACACCAACGCAAAATTGTTAGTAGCATCGGTTTTTTGTCTGTTAGCGTCGAAAAATAGCTGACGCTAAATACTATTTTTTCAAGTAGTGAATACTAAGTTAGTAAGAGAGTGAGAAATGAAATTTGAATGGGAAAAATTTGAATACCTAAAGAGTGACACGTTCACCTCTTTAAATAGGATAGATGGTTGAGAATTGAACGTGTGAGAAGCGGCCAACCATTACACTCATTCTGATAGATTGACATGGTATCTTCATAAGGGGTAATTTGGGACGTTGAGGGAAATGAATCCACCTACTTTTCATGTGGTAGCTTCTTACTTCGTGGTAGCTTCTTACTTCGCTATTAGTGTCCACTTCTTGGGCCTTGCGGCCCGAAAGGAATAGAAAGTATGAAGTTAGTTTTTATTCACGATTCCAACAACATTCATCTTTAAAATAAGCCAATGGAAATAATATTAATAACACTAGGATATTCAGAAGTTCACGGTGTTTATCACATAACAAATATCTATATGTTCATCGTAGAACATGCCTCAAGATTCTCATAACAGAACATATTTCAACATGTTTTCACAAAACAAACTTTAACATGTTAATGAAATAACATGTTTCAGAATATTCATCATATAAAAATTTCTAACATGATTATCATATAATACTTCAACATCTATATCATGTTCATCCTAAAACAAACTTCATAATCGGTTTTAAAATTAATAACTAGTTTTCAATTTAAAACTGCTTTCATATATAAAAATCCAGTTTTTAAAGCAGAACATTATTTTTTTACAATTGATTTTTCAGTTAAAAACCATTTTCGAACATAAAATTTTCTAAACACACCGATCAATATTATAAGCATTTGTGAATTTGTTAGTGTGCGTATAGTAATTTTTAAAATGCTTTTGTTAGCATCATCTTGAATTGCTAAACACACCAAACTTTCACAAGCTCTACCCTCAAGTGATGTTGCTAACTATCATCTTCAATTACTTTAGTAGTACCATGACTATCAAGTCCTTATTGAAAACCATATGATATACTACATTCCTAAAACGGTGAAGTAGAAATTAATTACATGAAACTAATTAACTCTTCTGCGATTTGCACCCGTTATGTTGTGTGTTCTCTTCAGTCTTATGTTAAACATATGTTCAACAAGTGTTACAACGCATTGAGGTTTTCCATTGAAGAACACATAATATCCCACCAGCATTCCAAGTACTGATCCACATCCATATCCTATTACTACTGCTTTCCAACCAAATTCCGATTCCTCTTCATCATTATTTGTTGAATATGGTGACTTTTCTTCATCATTTTTGCACGATTTTGACAATGGATATCCACACAACATTGCATTTCCTTCATATGAATCATTTCCAAATGTATCAAATTGGTTACCTGTAGGTATGGTTCCCTCCAAAAGATTTTGTGAAAGATTCAAGAAAGAGAGAAAGTTCAAATTTGTGAGAGCCACAGGAATCTCACCTGTCAATTGGTTCTGTGAGAGGTCCAACCACTCCAAATTTCTCAAACTACTCAAAGATTCTGGAATGGTACCTGTGATTCCATTATTTGAAAGGTTAAGGCCTTTGAGAGAATTTAATTCTGGAATGGTCCTTCCAATTGATTGCCATTTAATTTTATAGTCTCAAATGCATTTCCTTTGGAGAAGTTTCTAGGCATACTTCCATGGAGATTGTTCATTTGCATATCCAATACTAAAAGATAAGGAAATGTTCCCAAGCATTGTGGAATCATGCCTGTTAAATTGTTTTGAGCCAAATTGAGAACATTCAGAGAACTTGCATTGCATAATGACAAAGCAATGTCTCCAGCGAAGTTGTTGTTTGAGAGTAAAAGGTAGTGAATTCCAATAGGTGGAATTGGAAGTTCTCCTTGCAACTTGTTGAAACTAAGATCAATATGGCCAATTTCCTTCCATTTGTGTAAGAGATTCTCATGAAACCATTTCGGGACTTTCCCTTGAATTTTGTTATAAGAGAGATCTAACTCAACTAGATTTTGAACTTGTGCTAAGAATTTAGGAAAAGTACTAATATTACTAGAAGATAAGTATAATATCTCAAGGTTAGGTAACATGGACTCAACACCGCCATCGATGTTGATAGAAAGAAAACTATTGTGGGAAAGATCAAGGAAAATTAGCTTTGTAAAATTTGAAAATTTGTGAAAGTCCACAACACCACTCAAGTTGGTTGATGACAAACCTAAGTCAGAAATATTTTGAAGTTTATAAATTGAATTTGGAAAATCACCTTGTAGGTTGTTATCTGATAGAAATAGATATCTCAAAGAATAAGTTGAGAATTCACCAATTGGACCTATTAGGTTGTTGTCATTGAGATCCAACTCTAGCAATGAAGGCAAGGAATAACACCAGAGCGGAATTGCTCCATTTAACATGTTATTAGCCAAAGCTATAAGATTTAGTTTTGAATGTTTAGCGATTTCAGTTGGAACAGGCCCTACTAATTTGTTAAACGATAAATCAATATGAGAAAGCCGAGTCAGATTAAACAACGATGACGGAACTTGGTCACTTAGATTGTTATAAGAAAGTGCTACATATTCTAAGTTGATTAAATTTTGAAAGACATTTGGAATCTTACCACTAAAGTTATTATATTGAAGATCTAAGGAAGTGAGGTGTGTGAGGTTTGAAAGTAGTGATGAAATCTCACCATGAAAATTGTTGCCTGCAAGATTCAAGAATGTGAGTTGAGTGAGGTTCCACGTAGATGGAGATACGAACCCATCAAAATCGCACTCGGTAAGGGTTAAGTGAGTAAGAGACTTCAACTGACCGATGGAATGAGGAATTCCACCCGATAAAACAGTATAGGAGAGGTCTAAATATCTCAAAGGAGTGCTCCAGTTTGACATTGGAAGTTGACCGCTAAGGTTTTGATTAAATGATAAATCTAGTTCTTCGAGATTTGGTAAAGAGAGAATGTTGGTTGGAAATTTTCCATGCAATCCAGTGAATGATAGACTAAGAGAGACCAAAGAGGATGACAGGTTTATTAGCTGCGACAAAGAGCTTCCTTTGATTGAAGACATGTCTACACCGTCCAAATGAAGTTGTCTCAAATTAGTTGCATTAAGAATGAGACGCTTCCAGGTGAAAGGATCGAGTCTTACACTGCTGCTGAGATCAAGGGAGGTTAATTTTGATAAGTGAGAGATTGTTGAGGGGACATCACCTCTGAATCCAGTGTATGATAAATTGAGGTTTGTGAGATTCACTAGTTCACCAATTCCATGATAGATTGAAGATTCAAGAAAATCATTGAAAGCTAAGTTGAGTTGTTGAAGTTGCTTGAGGTGGAAGATAGTACTATTAGGAGAGAATTTACCTTTGAGACGACTGCAACTAAGGTCGAGACCAATCACGTGACCTGATACGTTGTTGCACGTGACACCTTCCCACTCGCAACAATCTGTACCGTTATTCCAAGATTCTATCTTTGAAGGAGCGGGTGAACAATAAGACCATTGTGCAGGTGCAGTGACAACAAATGAGTTTTTGAAGTGTAGCAAGGCATAGTTATCATCATGGCTGCATAATGAGAAAGTATAGGAAGGAAATTGAGTAAGCAGCAATAAGAACAAATGGAGAAAAAAGCACATCATTTGGAATTAGAAATAGAAAGCTATATTTTGATGAACTTAAAAGCTCCTCTTTATATTCTTATTAAGTTGATGATTTTTTATTTAACAATTGATTAGTCTCTAACTATGATGTTAGCTTAGCTGAAAGGGTTTGAAAAACCATTTCCCATGCCACCAAAGGGATTGAATTATTTATTAGCTGATTATATTATTGGTAATTTGACATTGAAGAGTTGAATTACTTCCAGCCATCATTTCTGACTCAAAAATGTAATCTTTTAAAATAAAATACAACATTGTGATCCTCTTCAGTGTTGGAAATCCACCAATTCTTTATGATGAATTTCGACCACCACTGATGATTAGTTATGACAAACAAATAAAAGAACAATGGAGATATTTCTGCAGAATTTCTATTCTGTCCACAAACTGTGGAACTTTTATTAATTCACTTTACAACTGCAAAATACTGTGAATGACTTAATTATAAAATAGGGGTTACTCCCTCTATTTATAGATTTAGGTTAGCTTGCTCCCTAAGCTAAATCCAAGCCCAAAATATCTCTTTACTAAATCAAATCTAATCTAGATTTAAATTCAAATCTATTTAAACCTAAACAAATCAAATCTTCTTTTGACACATATGAATTACAATTTAACACACCACCTAATTCATTGTGTCTAAACTGTCTATGTTCATCATGGCCCTTAGCTTTCTGAATACTTCGACCTGCACTCCCTTCGTCATGATGTCTGCAATCTGATTCTCAGTTCTGCAGTGTTCCAAATTCATCTTCCCATCTGCTACCTGCTTTCGAAGATAATGGAACCTCATTTCGATGTGCTTACTTCGACCATGTGCTATTGGGTTCTTCGCCAGATTGATAGCTGACATGTTGTCTATCTTCATGGTAATTGCTCCATGATTTTTTCCTGTTATCTCTTCGACCAAGTTCACCATCCAGGTTGCTTGACATGCACAAAGAGAAGCAGCTATGTATTCTGCTTCGCATGATGATAATGCCACTACTGGTTCTTTTCTCGAACTCCAAGCAATTGTTGCACCACCTAGCATAAACACATATCCTGTTGTTGACTTTCGATCTTCAACATCACTACACCAACTTGAATCAGTGTATCCCACTAACTTGCATTCTTTTCCTTTATCAACTGCAGGAAACAAAATGCCATAATCGAAAGTTCCTTTAAGATACCTTAGTATCCTCTTCACAGCTGCTAGATGTGATACCTTTGGCTTCTACATGAATCTACTTACCATACCTACACTGTATGCTAAGTCAGGCCTTGTATGACAAAGATATCTCAATGATCCAATAAGTCTTCTGTATTGGGTTGGATCAACATCATCTTCATCAGCATCTTTCGACAGTTGCAGTCTTGGTTCTGCAGGTGTCGAAGTTGCGTTGCATTTTTCCATCTCAAACCTTTTGAGAATTTCTCCTGCATATCTTCTTTGATGCATCATCAAACCTCTACTGCTCTTGTAGAATTCGATACCAAGGAAATATGAAATCTCACCCAAATCAGACATTTCGAATTCCTTGCTAAGGTTAACTTTGAAGTCTTCGATCTCACTCTTGCAGCTACCTGTTATCAACAAATTATCTACATAGAGACATAGTATAAGCAATTTACTCTTGCTTCTTCTTACATATACTCCATGTTCAGTTATGCACTTCACAAATTCCTTCTCCCTTAGAAAACTATCAATTTTCTTATTCCAAGCCCTTGGAGCTTGTTTCAAACCATACAGGGCTTTATGTAGCCTGTACACCTTTCTTTCTTCGTCATGTTTCACAAACCCAACTGGTTGTTTAACATAGACTTCTTCATCTAAGGGTCCATTTAGGAATGCACACTTCACGTCCATCTGACATATGTGCCAACTGTTAATTTCTGTTAGACCAACAACCAGCCTGATTGTTTCGATCCTAGCAACAGGTGCAAAAACTTCGTCGAAGTCTATTCCTTCTTTCTGTAGAAATCCTTTCGCCACAAGTCTTGCTTTGTGTCGAGTTACTTCACCTTTCGAATTCGTCTTCACTTTGTATATTCACTTGACATCAATTGCCTTCTTGCCTTGAGGCAATTCGACAAGTGACCAAGTGTTGTTGTCTTCGATAGACTTTACTTCTTCGTTCATTGCTTTCAGCCACTTCGAATCCTTTAATGCTTCAGCTGCATTAACAGGTTTGACATCTGCATAGAAAGCATAATGTACCAGCTCACCTTCATCATCTATCACATCATCTGATGTAATCACACAATCTTGCAATCTTGCAGGCATGCGTCTTGTTCTTTGAGGTCTGCTTGTACTGGGTATATCTGCTGGCTCCTCTTGTCGAACTTCTCTTTCGACTTGAGTTTATGGCTCTTCGAATAAGATTCCCACTGAATCTTTCTTGACATTTGTAGTCCAATCCCATTCTTTGAACTCATCTATGATCACGTCCCTGCTGATCACAATCTTCTTGTTCTCTGGATCGAATAACTTGTAGCCTCATGTCGAATGATATCCAACTAGGATCATTTGACTTGACTTGTCATCAAGTTTCTTTCTCAACTGATCTGGAACATGTCTATGTGCAATAGATCCAAATACTTTCAGATGACTCAAGCTAGGCTTCACACCAGACCAACATTCTTCTGGAGTAATTCCTTCTAGCTTCTTTGTAGGACATCTGTTCAAAATATAAGTTGCAGTAGAAACAGCTTCACCCCAGAACTCTTTAGGTAAATTCTTGCCTTTCAACATACTTCTCACCATATTCATGATGGTTCGATTTTTCCTTTCTGCAATTCCATTTTGCTGTGGAGTATAGGGTGGCACCACCTCATGCACAATCCCTTCTTTTTCACATAATTTGTCGAAGTCTTTCGACACATATTCTCCTCCACCATCAATTCTCAAAACTTTGAGCTTTCGACCACTTTGTCTTTCGACCATGGACTTGAACTTGGTAAATACTTCGATCACTTCACTTTTCTTCTTGATCAGGAAAGTCCATAGCTTTCGACTGAAATCATCTATGAATGTAACAAAGTATTTGTTACCTCCCATCGAATCCACCTGAATTGGTCCACATACATCAGAGTATATGACTTCGAGATTAGCCTTCGATCTGCTTCCTGCATCCTTGCTGAAGCTGTTCTTGTGTTGCTTCGCCTGCACACATTCTTCACATACTTCGTTTGGAATATCAATTTCAGGCAATCCTGAAACCATATTTCTTCTCTTCAAATCTCTGATGTCTCTGAAATTGAGATGACCTAGTCTATAATGCCATATCCATTCATCTCTGCTAGCTGCAGTCGAAAGTCACTTGTGCTCCATCACATTTAGTTCAATCTTGAAGGTTCGATTCTGAGACATAGGAGCCTTCAAGATTACCCTCCCATTTCCATCAACAACTCTCATCAACTTATCTTCGATTGACACTTTATAATTCTTTTCGACCAACTGCCCTATACTGAGCAAATTGCTCTTCATGCCTGGTATATACAATACATTCGAAATTACTGACTTCTTGCCATCTTTCCTCATGATCATAACATCACCAATACCTTCAGCTGCTAGGATGTTGTCATTTGCAAATTTTACCAAATTTTTCATTGAGGGTTTTATATTGACGAACCAGTCTTTCCTTCCAGACATATGTGATGAACATCCTGAATCTAAGTACCATTGATCCTTGAATCTATCTTCATCTCTTGTTGTGACCATTAGCATCATCTCTTCTTCTTCTTCATGTTTTGCAAGCTTTGCATCACTTTCTTGATTCTTTCGTTTTTCTGGACAATCACTTGAATAGTGACCATACTTCTGACAATTGTAACATTGAATGTGACTTTTATCAGGTTTTCGACCACCACCTCTTCCTTTGTTTGCAGCACCACCTCTTTGGTTGCCTTGGTGTGGTCTTCTTTGATTCGACACGTCTCCTTCGATTTGGTTTCCTCTACCATTCGATTTGTTGTAGCCACCTCTACTTCTGTCGAAATACTTTTCTTTGCCTTTGGTCTCTTTTGCTGCATGTGCCTGCAAGGCCACATCACTCTTCGATTTTCCTGCGGCTCTTTCGTTCATTCTCTGTTCATGAGATTCGAGCGTCCCTTGAAGCTCTTCCTTTGTCAATTTCGACAAGTCTTTCCCCTCTTCGATCGCCACCACTATGTGGTCGAACTTAGGAGCTAAGGATCTCAGGATCTTCGAAACAACAACTCTTGTTGTTAATGTTTCTCCACATGTCTTGATTTGATTCACTAGTTTTGTAACTCTAGTGAAGAAATCAGATATGTTTTCACTGTCTTCCATCTGAAGCGGTTCATAGGTTCTTTTGTGAGTTTGTAACCTCACTTCTTTCACCTTCTCAGCGCCTCCAAAAGATTTCTCCAGGATCTCCCAAGCTTCTTTTGCAGATTCTGAATCACTAATCTTTTTGAAATTGTCTGGGCTGACACATTGATGAATTATAAACAATGCTTTATAACTCTGTTTCTCAGATTCTGTATATTTCTTCTTTTCTTCTTCTGAAGCGTTTTCGCCAAGCGCTTCGACTCCATCTTTTACAAGGTCCCAAAGGCCTTGACACCTTAATAGGACTTTCATCTGCTTGCACCAATTCTCATAGTTGTCAACTTTCAGAATTGGCAGCGTTGCTGGATAGTTTGCATTCTCATAACTTGTCATCATGAATTCTTCAATCATTCTTGATTGATACTTCCCTTGAATCGTAACACAAGCTCTTGATACCAGATGTTGGAAATCCACCAATTATTTATAATGAATTTCGACCACCACTGATGATTAGTTATGACAAACAAATAAAAGAACAATGGAGATATTTCTGCAGAATTTCTATTCTGCCCACAAACTGTGGAACTTTTATTAATTCACTTTGCAACTGCAAAATACTGTGAATGACTTAATTACAAAATAGGGGTTACTCCCTCTATTTATAGATTTAGGTTAGCTTGCTCCCTAAGCTAAATCCAAGCCC